TTTTTCTCTCTTTTTGTTGATTAGAGTACTCTTGATTTTCTTTTGGTGGGAAGATTCCTTTGTGTGGTTTGACATCTTTCTTAATACATGCATGCCAATAATGGAAGGGAGGACCAAGAAAGGAAAACTGAGAGAGGAAGAGAAGAGTAAGGTTAAGTTGGTTAACCAAAATAAAAATAGAGAAAATTAGGGCTAGTTTGCTTTTATTTCTTATTTTTCGTCTCTTTTTTCAATGAAGAATAACATAATTACATTTGATAACTGCTTTCTTGTTCATGTTTGTTTGGTAAACATTTTATGTTTGTTATTATCTAAAATTTTGAATAAACAAAAAAGTAAAAAATATTTTTTATGAAAATTAATTTTTCAAGTTGAATATTCGTATATTTTTTTATATTATATGGAAAAATCTAGTGGACTAAGGGAGTATGGAAAATTTTCATACGACCATTTATTTTTTGACAACTCAAAAACATTTAAAATATAGTGTGGATTCATGAAATAAAATAATATATCACTCAGTGATGTGTCAAAATATGAATGGAAGGGGTACGTAGTACTAGAAAAACTTCCATATTATATTTAGTTTTTGTATACTTATTATGCATTTTAAAGGTAAGAAATGATAAAATAATTTTGTTATCTATGTTTTGAAAAACACTAGAAACTTGATTTTGTTGTATTTAAAAAATTTATATAATTTTAAAAACATTTATTAAAAACGAGAAATGAGAAACAACAGTTATCAAACACTTATATTTCTCAAATATTGGAACAACAAATAAAAAATAGAACGTTTTATATCAAACAAGTCGTTAATGTTTATTTTAATATATTAAGTTGGTTGCCCATGTAATGAAAACTAGGGATTGATACCTTTTTGGTTGTTGAGCTTTTGGGAATAGTTCTCTTTTGTCCTTTTGTCCTTTACAGAGAGAGATTTGTCCAACTGAGCATAACTCAATTAGTTAAAGCACCTATCTCCGAAAAAAATATCGTGAGTTTGAATCTCCATCTTTACATGTTTGTACTAAAAAAAACTACAAAGATTTAAAAACGCTTTATAGCTCTAGTTTCATTTTTGATGGAATATAACATTACTAATATGGCGTAGAGATTTTAATTAACTTTTGACCTACCAGGGAGGTTACTAATGCCTTAACGGTTTAATTAGTTGAGTTAAGTTGGTATTGTCCATAGGTTAAAAGATAAAGTTGAATAGTCAATGAGAGCCTAATTCAATGGCTAAGATATATTTTTACTTTTGAAGTTTGGATGTACATTTACGATGAAATATTAAAAAAAAAAACAAAACAAAATAAAAGTTGATTGGTAGAGAAATTTTTAATGAACAACAATGAACTCACGGTTTTACTTTTAGTTTCACCAAAAATTTCTCATACCAATATATATGGAGATAATTGTCATCATCTATATACTATAGATTAATCTCTTCCTTAATCAATGTGAGACTTTTTTTTGTACTTCTTGCAACCCAATAATCATCCCCTTGAACAAAGTACCATTTGTATCTTACTCGAATAGTCATTCATCCTTCTACCATCTTCCCATCGAACATAGTACCACCAAGCCTTCCCTCAAGTAGTCATTCATCCGTCCAACTCCTCTTCTCCAAACCACACTGCCTCTCTGATTGCAATAGAGTTCAATCACGGATCCTACATGACTACATCTTCCAAAGCTCACCAGACTTCTTGTTCAACACCTAAGGATTCTCAACCACATATCACATTGTGGGAACCTGTTCGGCCACATATCACTATCGCACCATCATCCACAATTCTGTAATGACTATAAGACTCGCCAATCATTCTTGTTCGGCCGCAGAGGATTTCTCCCACATAGCTACGTTTTTTTACCGTGACTTTGATACCACTTGTTAATGCAACGTACCCCATGTATCTTCATAATTATATGACATTGTCTGTTTTGAGCATAATGCCTTTACGACTTTACTTATAATTTCACCAAAAAGACCTCATAACAATTGAGATAATTGTCTTCACCTATATATCATGGATCAATCTCTTTCTTAATCAACGCGAGACTTTGTTTGCACTCCATGTAACCCCAACAACATGCTTTAAATTTTTGTTAATACTTCATTTCAAAATTTAATATTTTTTAATTACGAATAATACACATTGTGTGTCTAGACTAGATCACATATGTCCAATCATTCTTCATTGGTATGAAACCTTTGGTATCCAAACCACTAGGACAGTATCAAACGCAAATCTTCGTGTTGTACACATTTTTACTCTATCTATGTTTGACCATACACATAATAGCCCACACATCAATCATATCACCCTTATCATCCTCCAACAATAACCAACACCATACTGTACAAGAAAGTTTGCCTCTATTTCATGGACCCAAGTTGAGACACACTTTGGTTGATCACCAAGCAAGGATGTGAATGACCTCTTGCAAATTGCATTTTCTCTAACCTTGTTCAAGACTAGAATGGTGAATTTTGTTGTATGTGTGAAAGAAGGTAGTGGGCCTTAATTTGAAAAGGTTGAGAATGATGATTGAATACTTTCTAACTATTTATATTTTGCTCGCTCGTATACTGTTGATGCATAAATTTGACCTATTAGAAGTATCAAATTTGTACCACCTTTCTATAATGAAAGAGATTAGACGAAACCTGCAAAAAAGAAAAATTACACACTGGTGTGGTGCTAGTCGAACCAAATTTGTGTAAAGCTGAGCTAAAAATAGGTTTTTTTAGAATAGTTTAATTAGGAGTATTTTCCCTCCATTTATACAATGGGAAACACTAAGGTTACCAAGATATCTTCTCCTAAATATAAAAGAAGACCTAAAGTCACTCGAACATTTTCTCCTTTTGTATATCTTAGATGACGGGAATTCAAATTTCTAAAGGCAATTTGAATACCTTAAATAAAGGAAATTCAAATTAGAGAAACTAGAACATAATCGACCTTTTATTTACGTCTGAAACCAGTATTTATGAATATTTTGGTTGAACGACTTTTTATGTTATGTTTTTTAACAACCACCGTAAATATTTACATATATCTAATATAAATGTTGACATTTACGGGATAAATAATTATTACACTAGTTGGTTTTTTGTTTCGGTTTATTGCATTAATTCATATTAATACTAATTTAGTTCCCATTTGTGCAACTATATGTAGTTGTTGGATTTCTTCATTTGATGTTTAAAAGGGCATGAATCATACCAAATTTACTTAAAATTAGAGTTTCTCCTCCAGCTCCCTAAAGAATTATCTCATTCTCTCTTTTTTTTTATTCATTGTTTAGGTTGAGAGCAAATGTCTAAAAATCACTACTAGATCTGAGGAGTTTGAGATTGCTGTTCTATCAGAATTTGTCATTATATCCTATTGAAATGATTGATGTAGTCTACTAACAACCTGTACAGAGCCAACATTATTTGTCTTTAGGATAGCTCTTTATACTCTATTCATCACTTGTGTATTCATCAAGTTCAGTTTTTTTTTTTGTTGTTGCTGCTGTCATTCTGATCATTATTAATTTTAGTATTTCTCGTTTCAGTTTTAATTGATTTTCTATGGTTCTAACATTAACACAGTCAAAGTAGTTTTATTTACAAGTATCTGTAATTCTTTGTAGCCAATTACGTCAAAGTCCATTTATCAGTGTCACAAAATTTACATATACAACACGTATTTCCTTCGACGGCGACTCCCCCACATAATTGATCTAAAAACCATAGCACATAGTGTAGAGGGGTGAAGAACATTCATCCCACCACTTCGTGCAGCTGTGCAGCCCTATAAATACGCATGCAATTTCAACTCCTAGCTTCAAGTACAACAATCATCGCTAAATTTTTGGCACTTTGAGAAGCACCAACACTTTTTACTCTACTAAATTATATATTCCACTAATTTAGCTGCCTATTGGAATTTCTTATCCTCTACAAAATCTCACACATTTAATGTCTTAGATATTGACGACCAAAAAAAGAGTCATCTCATTGGCTTTTCACTAAAACTTCAACGGCCAGAAACTAAAATGTGTTCGGGTGGTAATTTGAAGAGATAAATTCGAAAGTAAGGGATTCAATTAGAAAAAGAAAAAAAAGATTGTATTCTATTAACAATATTTTGTTTTTGTCCCCCATTCGAAAATTGAATTTCAATTTAAAAAATTGTTCGAGAGGTATTTAGTACTGTATTTGCAAATTAATAGTATTTACTAAGTAAAAATAAAAAATACTATTAATTAATTTATTAATATATATGTTACAAAATTTTATGTAATTATTATTTTACAATATGATTTATAATATATTATGTTTTATGTTATGGGGTAAAAAAGTCTAGTTTCTGTAATTTGAATTCCTTAATTTAAACAATATGAATTGCCTCTAGAAATTTGAATTCTTCCATCTCTAAAGAAGATAGATATAAAAGAAGATATAAGCGGTGACCTTGGGTTTTTTTCTCTATTTAAATTCTTCCATACTTATAATGAAGTACCCTACAAAACATACTTTTTGCTATATTTCAAACTTTGATTCAGATTTAAGCATCCGAGTGTGTGGCTCTACACTCGTATGTAATTTTTGCACATCTTTTTATTTTGTAAGTTTGACCAAATCTCTTTTATTCTAAAAGATTTATACAAATTTGGTAAATCTAATAGGTCATATTTATGCCTAACATTTTATATATTTTAATTTTAACAAAAAAAAAAATTCTACCATAAAATAGTGTATTCACCAAAGTTTCTATCTATTTCAACTTAATCCATCATTTTAAAATTTCAAATTTACTTTTCATGATTCTCGTTTTGGTATATAGATATTTACTAAATCCATTCGATCCAACAAATCTCAAAACCAAAAACAAAATTTACCTACCAAATACGTCCTAATTTTTCTTAAAGAAAGAATCTTATACACTAAAACTATATATTTTAAACCTCTAATCTTTACTTTTACACATAAATATCAAAGACGTTCACACCATTTACAAAAACAAAAACAAGAAGAAAGCAAGACGATGAAATGAAATAAATTGAAATTGATAGAAGAAAATGAATGAATGAGAACACGTGGCAGGTTGTTGAGTCCCCTCCCTCTCCACACCACCGTGTACCAATTTTTAATTAATTTTTTTACCAATCGGAATCGGACCCTTTTCTTTTTGCCATTCAATTCCTTCACCCATTTCCTGAGGCTCCGCTTAAACGCCATTTCTCTCTTCTCTCTCTCTCCTCTTTCTTGAATTATTACTACTGTCACGCACACAGTACACAGATCCATCGTCCATGGCGCCATTTCTCCATTCTCCAATTATAAGGCCTCTATTTCCTCTTCCTCCTCCAAAACCCACCACCCACTGACCGGAAAATGCCAATGCCGCTCGCGGCCTTCTTCTTCACTTCCTGCGTTGGATTTGAAGTTGGTTTAGCGCTTCGAGAAATTTGAATAAAGAAATGATTATGCGATTCATGGGGAGGAGAAAAGAATCGTTCATTTTCAGAGGGGTTCACGTGAAGGGTTTTTTTTTTTGGCGCGATGTCCGTGAGTAGTTTTCTTTGCAGTCAGTACAGTCGGTGATTTCCCGAGGGCGTCGCCATTGGAGACCATTTCGTGTTCTTCTCTGCAGTTCACTCCATGTTTACACAAGGTGAGACTGAGACTGAGACTGAGACTGGGATTGTTCTCCATGACTGTGTTTTTCATTGTTGTTTCGGTCAAACGTATTTAAGACTCTGAAAATGACTCCCACTGGCGCCGGTTTTGGATGTTTTTTGAGAGTTAAGGCGCCAGCACCGAGTAGATGAAGGAAGGAAGAGGAAGGGGAATGGGAATATTTCTTGTAAGATTTCTTTCCATTTTTGTTTCTTTCATTGGGTTGATTTGATTTCTGTGATTTCTGCGTCGAAGATTCGCATTTCAGATCGTGATTTCCGTTCGTAGTTCTCTCCGATGAAACTTCGGTACTCTCCGTTGTTCTTCGCGTTGTTGGTTTGCGTACTGCCTCATGTCCGAGCAGGGGATGCTGAAGCTCTGCTAGCGCTGAAGGAATCTCTCGACGCTGGAAACTCGCTGCCATGGCGAGCAAGCGGAAGCTCTGTCTGCGAATGGGAAGGCGTGAAAGAGTGCACGAATGGGCGAGTTACTAAACTCGTTTTGGAGCATCTGAATCTCTCTGGTGTTCTTAGCCAAAAGATTTTGAATCGTTTGGATCAGCTTCGTGTTCTTAGTTTCAAAGGGAATTCACTTTCCGGCGAAATCCCTGACCTCTCGGGTCTCGTTAATCTCAAGTCCCTCTACTTAAGCAACAACAACTTTTCCGGCCAGTTTCCGAGCTCCATCTCCGGACTCCACCGCCTGAAAGTCGTCGCTCTTTCCGGTAACCAAATCTCCGGCCCCAT